GAGAGTCACGGAACGGATTAAGTTCGTAAGTAGAGGTACCACTGTATATCACAACATTTCCTGCAAAATCAATGCTGAATTCTTTTCAGCATATTAATGAGACCATTAATGTGCACATATATCGAAGTAGGTTAATCATGTTTTTAAATCTGAAGCATTAACAACCATACCTCTAATTAGTTGCATGCACTCAGTATAGAAAAGGCCAACAGAGAATTGCTCCTGACTTACCAAGTATGAGCTTTTGGCAGGTTATTTGTGCTGGCATCAATCTGGTGAATGGTAAACAGTCTTGGGCCAGCAGCACCTAGAATTGCACCAAATATGGTACTGTTCAATATTACACAGCATTAATCTAAGAACATACTATTGCTCAGAGAAGAAAACGCTGTTGTATAAGAAAGGATATGCATGTGAGCAAGCACATGTCAATATATACATAGGTGTGCACATGCATAGTATATCCTATTCAGAAAGTTCTTTCTTCCCCAAATATACTCCATTTAGGAATGTTGATCTAAGACTTTACAGGGCACACTGGACTAGAACTAATTATGCAGATCAAAGTTATACTTCAATTAATGGGTAAAACAGTTGCTCCAACCCCAGAAGCATGCACTGTTTCTAAAGGTACATCATTCATGAACTAATAACTAGCATCCAATGCTTATAAAACTCAAGTAATATGCTACATGCCACAGCAGGCAGGGTGTAGGTCCCACTGTGCCCATGAAAATAAAGTATAATAAAGAAAATCAGAGATTTGCATTTAATACTCTTCAAAATTATACTAGGTCCAATGGGAATTATTATCGAGACAACTATGATCAAACTACATGGACAGAGCACTGGAGATATTTGGTGGATGAAGCAAACTGATAAATTAAATTGAACTGGATGCAGATCTACCCCTGAAAAGAATAGGACTTTCAGTAGCCATGACCATTCCAGATATGATTAAACCTATACTCAGCCTACAGGCTACAGCATGTTTCAGTTCAGGTTTTTAATAAAAAATGATTACATCTGAAATATTATGAAACACTACTTTGGAAAGGGCAATGTTTGTGGCAGTAAAACTGGACTCAGGACAGCCATAGAGTTTATTGTTTTTACCTTGTAATGCTTTGAAGCCCTGAAGAGGCACTCTGGATGATCCAGTCACAAACTGTAGTAATCGGGCTCTCCTCTCTTCATCAAAGAGCTCCACAGCTTTCCAGAACCACTTTACAATGTTGCTGTCTGGGGTGCAATGTTTTAATCTTGTATTGGCCTTCCAGTCATTAACGTCTATCTTCCCAAGGCCACAAATGATGAGCTGGTGAGAATTGCACACATAAAGACCAATGGCATTAACCATATGAAGCTGCAACTTAAAATCAGAAGCTACAAGACCTCAGGGACAGGGAACAGGAGATATTGTTTAACTTTTAATAAGTACCTTATGCCCAGTATGAAATGGTAAGAGTTTAAGATTTTAAAACTGAAGGGATTTTTTCCCCCAAACTGCATTGCCCTAATTTTAACAGTCAACCAGAGTTGCTTGGCAAGTAGGCACCATACAAACTGAATGGATGAATAAACAAATAAATTAAAGAGCATCTATTTTCTGTATTTGACAAGTCTTACAAGTACGTCCAACTGTACAAGAAATAAGTAGAATATATAGAACATGATGTAGGAACTGGTAAGCAAAATTCTTTTTCTATGAAATTTATTACTTGATTCAGAAGCTGCCAGGAGTCCTTACTGTTTAGCACAGTAATCTACAATGTTTTCCAGAACAAAGGTCTCATGTACCTTTTGAGGGACCTGCTGGGGACCATACTCCAAAGTATGTTGGGCAAATCCAAACATTTAATCTGATTTTATTTCATTTAAATTTAGATAAAATTCAATGAATTTTATTCCAGCCAGTAGAGTCTGGGACTGGCAAGAGTGCTGGCATCCTTTTGCCAACAGTCTTGCTTCTAATAAGAGGCAGTTCTAACAGGTTTTCTGGCTATCTGGAACTTGTTTTGCTTGTGTTTGGAGTGATGAGAACAGTCAGTCTGGCAAAGAATGGTCATCAAGCACATCAAGAGGAGAATGTTACATACTTCACCATCTTTTCATGCTCTGTAAATCTAGTTTACAATGGGAAAGACAGGACTTCTACGAACATCTCACATATGAGCTCATCTCCAGCTCAGATTAATGGCCACATACAAAGCACAATGTTGAGCTTCTCTTGGGTCAATCTGTGAGTCTACACATTCTGGGCATCTGTGTGATTTTTGCTGCAAATGCATCAGAAAGGAGGGAACTTCCCACTCTCTCACACACATTCCATACAGAAGAAATATATCGATAATTAACATACTAACCTCTAGTTCCTTCTCATCAAATGTCTTCAGCAGATGCTGTGGAATTACTTCATTAAAACCCTTCTGGAGAGCCAGAAACTGAGCTTCAATCCCTCTTAAAAATCGCCAGTTTACATACAGCCTGCAACAAAGTGCATGTTCTACTGACAAAGGAATGGCTTCACAATTATCACTTTAGATTTTTTTGTCCACAAACTGCAGATTCTGTTACCAGAAGCACAGAGACAAACCAACTATGCTAAGTTGCTGGGGGGGGGGGGATAAAAAGTACTATAAAATAAATGAATAAATAAGCAATTAGAGGCTAAATGCATCTCATTAATCTATGCACATGACAATTCTCTCTGGACAGGACACCATAATGGGTAACTTTTAAAATACCTGACATATTCTTTTTTATTCTCCTCTGTGACAGGAATACTTTTGCCATTGGGCTTAAGTTCATGCTGTATGATTTCACCATATGCATTATGCTCCACACAAAATGTATGGTCTAAGACTCCTGTAATATCATTCTCCCTGAAAAAATAGAGAAAAATAATTAAAATGTAAATGTCTAAGCATACTATATATTTTTACTCTCAAATAAAAGCACAAACATTTACTTCTACAGATCTCTCTCTACAAAATCAATGTAAAAAGATGGTATGTTTTTCCCCCTCTTCTTTTTTACAAACTTTTCTCATAAATGAATTAATTAAATTCTAAAACATTCTGAAAAATAAAGAACCTTCCCACTCAAGGTTTAGACATTCCAAAGTTTTCAGTCTCCCCAATGTGGCTATCAAATGTTTAGAAAACCATAAAATGACAATTACAGAATAGCTGTTTCTCCTATTCTAAGATTAAAAGGCTAAGAGATGGTGAATTTCTGGCTTGTGGTAGATTCACGTCTAGCATCTGCATACATAATATGTGCAAACTGATGAATTAATGTAGAGGTACAGTATGTGAGCAAATACATGTATATGAGAGAAATGTTGGGGCAATTATGAATTTAAAAAAACAAGTTAAAAAGAAAAGGGTCTCTGAATGCATCCTTTAATCTTTGCCATAGAACATCTCTAAAGAAATAATGTTCTTCAAGAAGCAAGGAGTGGACATTTTAAAGAATTTAATAATCCTAGTTTAAAATTAGTTTAACAAAACAGCCACTAAATATAAATAAGCAATATATACCCATTCCAGAAATAGTATAATTTTAAAGGGGTAAGTACATACAGTATCCATACTAAGCTGTTGTGAAGATCTGGGTCGACTAATTCCATGTCGTCCAATGTAATTGGCTTTCCTAGCAGCTGTTTATAAAAAGGCAACGTAAAGCCCCCGTCAATATAATGTCCGTGAAACACAGCCATCCCCATGATTCTCCCAACGAAGTGGAAATAGGATAAATGTTCCTGGAATTGAAAGAATATATGTAATCAGGATCAAATCAGATTCTTCTATCCCAACTATTTCTAAGCATTTTATAATATACAGCAGGTTCAGTCAAATATCACAATATAAGTAAGAGTAGTAAAAGCGCCTGTTTTACTTCCACCACTGAAGAAACATCTTACTGTTAACTACTTTCATTCAGAAACTCATTTTCTAGCCATCTAATCTTATAATTAGAATAATGTCCTTATATTTAGCCTAATACTTTCTCACAATGTAAAGCCTTTATTTCTTAAAATTTAGCAGATTTGTGTCCATCCATTTTCATAATCGAATGGCTCACATTTATTTAAAATCTTTTTTCTTCCCAAGTGTTGCCTCAGGGGGTCATGAGTTTTTATAGAGTTTTATAGTTTTTATTTATTGTTTTAGGGTTGTTTTTTTTTTACTGTTTTTTGAGCCTCTCAAGGTTATTACAATATGGGTGGCTATACAGATAGTCCTCTGTTAACAACCACGCGTTCACCAACTGTTCAAAGTTACAATGGCACTGAACAAGTGGTACTTAAGACCAGTCCTCGAAGTTCCAGCTGTCCCAGCACCCCCACGGTCACGTGATCATGATCTGGGTGCTCAGCAACTGGCTCACACATAACGACAGTTCCAGCGTCCCGTGGTCACATGACTGCCATTTGCGAACTTCTCTGCCAGCTTCCCACAAGCAAATTCAATGGGGAAGCCAGCAGGGAAGGTCTCAAGTCACTCTCGTAAGTCTCCCGCACCTGGCAGCAACCAGCCTCACTCCACTGTGCTTGCACTGCACTGGCCCCTTGTGCACTCTCAAACGCCCTCCCACACTCTGTAGCAGCCAACCCATAGCCCCAGCACTTCTTGGGCTATTGGGTCTTTTGGTTTACTTAAGATGGAAGGTTTAAGATGGAGGGCTTTAGTTGGTTTGTGTGCTACAGTAATGCTGTGTGGTTGTAATAGTTCGTTGATTGTTTCTGAGATGTTTCTGATGTATGGTAGTGTATCCTTTTCATAGCTTGTGTTGGTTGTGCTATAGTGGGTTGAGTAGTCAGGCACTTTTTGATAAAGTTGCATGGATATCCATTTTGTTGAAAGATGTATAGGTGGTCTGTTTCCTTTTTCTGGTGTTCTGGGTTGCTGCAGTGCATTTGTACTTGTCTGAATAATGTTCTTATACAGCTCCTAGGTAATGATGTTACCTAGTTGGGTAATGAAATATCTGCAAGCAAACAATTAAGCTCAGAGAGCACCAAGGACTCCATACTACCATTCCCTCTTGAAATCAGGCAGCTTGGCTATGAACATGGAACACACTGATCAACCTTCCTTGTAAGCAGAATCCCAAACAGACATGAGCTCTGCAACGTATTGGATTCAGCTTTTAGATGTGGTGCTGGCCACCAGCTTGGCTGACTTCAAAAAAGAATTGGACCAATTCATGGAAGTCATGGGAATCAATGGCTATTAGTTTTGATGCCACGGCCTCTGAAGGTCATCTGCTGGGAGACTAGTAGACTTCCTTGTGCAGTTGGTTGGCCACTATGAGAACAGACTGCTGGACTAGATGGGCCAGGGGTCTGATCCAACAGGACAGTTCTTATGTTCTTATTGTTCCAGCAAGTGCGTCCCTTCCTCTGATGGAAGGGGAGAGACAACATATCTTGACTAAGATGCTCCATCAAACCATAGACTCTTTTGCACTGTAACTGATATGGAGAGACTTGGCTAAAATTGGGATTTGTTCTTCTCCTGTTACTAGTATTCCAAATAGTGTCTTGACAGGATTTAAGACACTTTTAGAATAAACTGTATATGGGTACTCTGGACATTTATGTAAGATGATGGCTGGGTATTGCTACAAATGACTGCAACGACTGACAACTATTGTATCATTTATTTTATTTTCTATAGAATGTGGATTGGGTGTGGTCATTGGTAATGCACAACCATATATAAAGATGCTGGAGTGTGCAAGAAAATTGGGGCCTGTTCTATCTTCCTCTTTGTTGGACATTCTCTCAATTCATACGTGTTGTGTTGTGTTATGGTTAGAATGTGTCCATGCTCCTGCAATCTTGGTTTTGTATTTATGTTTAATTGTTTTTAATAGTTGTTTATATTTGTTTGTAACTGTTTTGTTGTATACCATCCAGTCACATTTGTGAAATGGGCAGCTATATAAATTTGCTAAATAAATAAATGTTACACATAATAGAATTGTTGCCATAAGCCCTGCTTACTACTGAGAAAGCATCTAAAAATTGCCTTAAGTCTTACCCATAATTTGGATGTAATGGAAAGAAAACTGTCTACAAGTGTTTCTCAGACTTGGGCACAACTGTGTGTAACCCAGGAGTTAAAAAAGAAAATTGTATATCCAAAGCACAAATTATAAATGAACAGTTTGCAATCAGTTTCATTTTAAAGGTTTCAAGATCCCACAGAGAAATATTTAGCACATATTAAAGTACCTTTCCTTTCAGGCAAAAAAACTCCTTCCCATTTTGGTGAGCTGAGCATCATAACATTATAAAACCTAAATGTCCTTAAACGCAAAAACTGAAAAGGAACTTGCTGGTCAAAGATAGCATAAGCCTTAGTAAAGTATTTCATCATACCGGGTTAACAGCAGAATCTGGATTTATCTGTAAAGTATAGATGTCATCACGGGAATACTGGAAGAGGCCATAATATGGATTCAGCATTTCATGGGATAGCAAATAGAGCCATTCCCTGAAGAAAACACAAACATTGCACAAAGATACAATTTTCAATGAAGCCTTAGGCAAAAAGGTGACAATATGACCCAAACATAACTAATGATTTAATATGTTCTCATCTTACTGCTTTGTCTGAGCTTTCATCATTTCATGCTCCATTTGTGGCAAGGAACAATTTACCAGTTATACATGCTATGGGGTATTGCTTGCAAAACTCAGCATCCTGAGAACAGAGCTGCCAAGAAGTGTTTGAAAGACACTTGGTGAAACTTTGGAAGATGGAAGTGGGGAAGATGGAAGACTAGGCAGGATTATGGTGGAAGAAAAGAGAGAAGCACCTTTAGTTCCTTGCTTAGCATTTTATATTTCCACCGAGCAGCATTCTGTAAAGTAAGGAAGTCACTTATTCTATGGTAGAAATAACAAAGTTATATTCTAGGATCCAAGCTGTATTTTATTATCTTGTAGGTAAGAAAAAGAGACAAACAAGGATTAACATTATATTTACTCAGAACAGCCAAAAGAAAAGGAAAAAACAGCTTTTTAGCTAAATTGAACAATTTTCTTCTATTTAAAATAGTCTGCACGTACAAAAAGGAAAGTAAAAGAAAACAAATCATTAATCAAATAACAAATGCTGGTATTTACATTTTTTAGATTTAAAAGACAGGATATGAATTAAGGGCACAAAACATACAGTTGTGTCTCAGGAATTTAAATTACCTTGAAACTTTTTTTTTTTTTACTGCTTCTGCTCACTGTAAATGTAATTCTGGTTATGGCAGTCTCATGGCATATGGTTCAACTCAGCCTCAGCTTGCTAAAATATGCTGAAATATGCCATCACTTGCTATTACTTTAAAAGTTTACATTTTAAAGTGCTAAATAAATTTGTTTCCCTTGGTAAATATTAGCTTAAGTAACAGAAACCCCCTCCCGCCACCAATTAACAGAATTTCCCAGTGCTTCAGAGATTTACTTTTCTGGCTCTGATTCACTTAGTCTCATTGCCAATAGGTCTGCTCATGCCAAAATGAATGGAACTGGAAGACAACTGCCAATCTACATCATTACTTAGAAGCATCCTAGTCTAAATATAAAATCTTATTAAAGAAAGCTGGGGATAAAATTTGGATGGAAGAAAAGAGGGTATGCTCCTCACTAAGGGGCTCATAATGCATCTGTTGATGTCTATGCACAGTGCAAATACAGAAAACTAAGAACTATCCCTGAGTAATCCCCCTTCACTTATTTAGTTGTGAGAGAGAGAACTGATCAAGAAACAAGGTAAGGATATAGTTGGAACTGTAGTCATCAGCTTCCAAAACTATTCTACCTGCAAATCCATTTTTTCCCCACTACCCTTTGCCCTCCTGTTGTTTCATTCTTTTCCATTCTCCCACTCCAGACTTTACTTATAATGGACTAGATTATACCTAGCATTTAAAACTCATGGGACTACACAGATATTGAAATAGCAAAACATAAAAATGCATATAATAAAATACTAAAATGCAGCAGTACTGTTGACTGTTGCAATTTATGCCAGCTAAATATTAAAATGTATTCTTGTGTAATAACAGAAAACATTGACACTGGCCTGAATCCAGCATTCCTTTATTCTATGAAAGCATCTTCTGAAAGAAGATTCCTTCTTCCCTCTATGGCTCCCTAACAATCTGTTCTAGAGCATCAGAGATATAACTCTTTGGAGATAAATCAAGAAACTACAGGGGAAAATCCTGAAAATGCCTCCCCCCTTCCCTACATTCCATTTCCACTTCCATGAACAAAAACCAAAAGTCCCCTTTGTAAAAACAAGACTTTTTCTTGCTTTGCAAAATGAAAATACCAGTTGAAACATTCAGAACTATAAACAGTGCTATCCCCTCCGCTCCATTCTATCCCCCCCGCCCCATTCTCTTTCTATTCCACTTTGTTTTTAAGCTGAATATATAGCCAGAAAACAAAAGAATTGGAATAGAGAGAAATGCCATTTCAAGCAAAGTAAATAAGGCAAGGTAAGGTAAGGCTTCTTTGCTTTATGAAACACTACCACAAGGTGGAGCCTTGCTAGCGTAAGCCAGTGTTTCTCAACCTTGGCAACTTCAAGATGCATGGACTTCAACTCCCAGAATGCTGGCTGGGGAATTCTGGGAGTTGAAGTCCACACATCTTGAAATTGCCAAGGGTGAGAAACACTGGTGTAAACTTTCATTTTTCAAAGCCCAGGTGAGAAAAAAAAACAATATGTTTGATCCAAAGATTCTGTTTCTCCTGTGACTGGAAAATGTTTCTTCCATTCAAAGAATGGAACCTTTTGGTGCAATAATTACTCTGAAATTGTTATAATCACTGTGGATGCCAGCACATTAGAAAAACCTACCAGCTCCTAACCAATCTTGGCCAGTTTTGAAAGTCAAAGTTACTTAATGCTTGGATGTGAGCCTACCAGGAAATCTGGTAAAACTGGGAAGTCAAAAACCACGGCCAGAAGAATACAGTGGTAAATTACTTTTGTATTGTGACTAGGAGAACTATATGGACATGTTCATGAAGTCACCAGGAGTTGAGCTTGACTCAAAGGTACATTTTATCTGTTCTTAGCCTCTGCCAGCTTATTGGTCATACTTCCCAATTATCACCTTATTTTTTAAGAAAAAAACAAGCTAAAGTATTATATTTTAGGCTGCATGTTATTATTCACCTGGCAACACCTCCATAATCAAGGCCTTCTTCCCCACGAAATTTTATCATTAATCTCTTCCACAGATCTTTCGGTCTCATCTTCATGACTTGTCTGTAAGACTCCTGGAATTACATTAGATATGTATTAGCCTAACGCTTCCTGTGTTTTCAACTTGAACTAAACTATATAAAACCTACACTACTGCCTTCATTAGCAAATGTGTAAAGTTTTATTCTTCATTCTCAGGTCAGTAAAAATGTCACTAGTGTTCAGAGGTACTGCTTGCATAGGTTTTATAAATTCAAGTATGTTCTGTTCAGTACTTGGTTTCCTTGAGGAAAAAAAATCTCTATTTTATGTGTTTTGGCAAACCTATACTCTTCTAATATAATTTCCACAATTCCTGCAAAATTCCTGGAAACCACCCTGCAGTTATGTTGTTTGGTCTTACTCATATGTATTCTAATGTAAGCCCTATCAACTGAAGAAAAAAAAAAGACTTAATTCTGAAAAAGACTGTAGTCTTGTTAAAGGAGAACATGTAAAAATTAATTTCAGACTTTACCAGGAAGATGCTGTCTCCATAAAATCACAGGTCCCCACTGAATTTCAAAATATGCATTGTAACTCAGTATCTAAGAATTTTCCTCCATTTGTAGTGCAAATCACAGATCACCATGACAGTAGGCACTGCCTTTTATTTTAATATCTGCAATAATCTATGATCCTCACATACCTCAAAAATTTCTTCCCTGGAGACTTCTATACGACAGTGTCCAGCTTGGGGCTGCTGCTGGGATAGCTCCTGCCTCAAAATCTTGAGTTTTTGTACTAGATCTCGTTTGTACCTTGGCACAGTCAGACATTCAGCCTCATCTGAAAGCTGGCACAGCGAAACAACTTGCTGCTGCTGTTGTGGCTGATCTTTAAGTTGATTTTGACGGCTGAAAAGAAACAGAGCGATTTTGACTAATTCCAAGACTTCCAGTTGTTCTCATTTCCATGGCAAAATAAGATGCACGTGAGTTAACATGTTGAAAAAAAAATTTAGTGTGCTGTTCTATTAAAATTCTCTGAAGGAGTCTGGAAGAGTACATACCTCTGCTTCTTTTAATACTAGACATTTCATCTAGTTTATTTATAAAAAATAAATTGATCAAAGCACAATATGGACTTTAATTGCTCAAAATGTCTCACACTGCCTTATCTTTCAAGATTTTCAGTTATGTCAGGTAACTAAAAGGGGGATACCACCATAAATTTTAAATGCTTTACCTGAAAAATTAACTTACAAAAATGTTGTAGACAGAGTTTGGCTAAGATGGTGTCTGCTGTACCTGAATTAGTCTTAACCACAGGAATGTAGGCAATTTTACAATTGGCACAGATAAATGAACATTTTCACTAGCTATTAAAGAAAAATGTTTTAAAGCTATGTTCAGACAGTGAGGGAGGAAAACATTATATATTCAAGGTAGGACTTTCTGACATTTTTTATAGTTACAGACTCATGCCAAAATCTGCAGCATTTTAAGTAGAATGAACATTATTTCAGAATACAAGTTTTGCTAAGAGAAAATGTCTAAATCTTATTGCTTAAAAGACTATAGGAAATGTCAGATGAAACTGAAAGTAGCCACAATGTAGCTGCAATGTGGAGAAACACAATTCATTGCCTGTTCCAATTATTAGCAGAAGCCAATGATAAACAAAACCAACCTTGTCAATCAAATTCATTATTTTACCAGAAGAGAGGTAAATACATTTAGATGAATCATAATAATTCTGATAGGTAATAGTGCACAACATGGTTTTACTGTTCTTATCAAAATGTTAATGAAAAATTCATAAAAGACTTAAACACGGCTACCATATATACTTGTCGATAAGCTGGCCCTCAATTTTTTAACCAAAATACCAAGAAAAATATGCCACCCCCGGATAAACCAACCCTCGAAATTTAGTACATATTAATTTTCACAATTGGCTTATCCTCAGGTGACACATTTTTCATGGTATTTTGGTTACAAATTCGAGGGTCGGCTTATCTGCAGATGAGCTTATCCACGAGTATATACAGGATATTTTAAGAAGTATTACCATATTTACTGGCGGATAAACCAAACCCAATTTTGGGGGGTGTATTTCTGAACCTAAAATTCTCAGCTTATCCATGAGTATATACAGTAAGTATTGTACTCCAACACTAATGAAAACACTAAATATGTCTAATTCTGGACAAACACTTTGCCTAAAGCATTAGAGCCAAAAGATTTTCTTTCTACTCAGGAAGCAAGAAAGCAAGCTTGATACTGTAATACTAAACTAGAAATAACCTAGCAAGCACAAATCTTCAAGATTTGGGACACAAAGTGAGACAGATGGTCAAGATATTAAAATGCCCAATTTCCATGCTTTCAATCCTTTCTTCCAGTTAGGTTGTTTAAGAATCAGGAGAGCAAGTAATAGCAGACTTAAATTTTTAAATCACCAACTTATTGTTCATTTGAAATTATCTATATAACTTTATAAATGCTTCTGTCTTCATTAGCATCTGAAGGTACTTAGATAAAATTTAAAGTAGATCATAAAATCAATCTGTTGTTCAGTAAGTCACATCTATAGTTCATAAAAGGGATGTTCCAGTCTTTTGGTCAAGACTGGAGTCTATTAGGATTCGATTTCATCAGACAGCGCCCTAGGACTAGTAATATCTTGTGGTGTGAATGCAAGACTACATTTAGTTTTCTTTCTTCTTTTTAACTTGTTATCTGGTTATTATGGCAAAGTTGCAAGAATCATATAAGAGCTTACTTGCTCCAATTCTCAGAATTTTCTGTATTACGCTATGAGAACCCTGCTGTAAACTCTTAACTGGTTGCTGATTAATAGAATAAGAACGTTTTAGACAGCATGGTAAGCGATGATGCTTTGCCTTCATCATAGAAAGCATGTTGTTCATTACAAAGAGATGGCTGTTTCTCTTATAACCGGCGCTTTCAGTATCAGGCATGGACCACGGCTCCCAAGATGCCTTGCTTATGGTTAACAGATGGATGGATTGCCAACCACACTTACTATCATCATGAACCACAGTTTCCAACCCAGGTACCAAGCAGGCAGTCAGCATAATCCAGAAGCAGTCAGGTCAGGACATCATCAACAAATGCTTTCTTCCTCTATTCTTTATGCCAAGTAATAAAACTGTAGCTATTGTTTTTAAATACAGTTCTGGCTGTCAGAATTTTCTGTTCTTCCAGCCACAAGTTTTCTGCTGTCAGCAGTTATAAACAGCAATTCTATTTTTTCCCCAGTTTAAAAATAATGTTATGTGTAAACTTATCTGCTTTAAATGGAATGGCAAAACAACTCATAAAGCATTTCACAGGAACAGGTAGAATTTCATCTGGATTTTAAAAATTAGGTTTTTATGCTCTCAGAAGTCAACCGTATGTAGTAATTAAAGGAATAAATTAAAGGTAGGAAATATGGTATGTCAAATGCTCCTGCCTTTTGGAGGAGCATCCCTGACCCCAAGAGTCAGTTAGCATGCCTGCCTTTAAAGATCTGGGTTTTTTCTCCAGGCATTGAGTGTGGGAGTGGGTGACCTGCTGGGTGAGCTTTTTTCCCAGCACTTTGGTGCATCAATGTTATTTTCCATTGTGGTTATTTATATTTTGTTTTAATATATGGTCTTTATTGCTTTTTACGGTTATTGATAATGTATACTGCCATGAATCATGTAAGTATTGATAGAGAGAGACAGAGAAACAGAGAGACAGACACGCACACACAGACACAATTAGGTGTTCAATATACAGAAACAGCCAACATGTTTTTCTTTAGTGCAAATATGAGAAAAATCATTTTCACATATCCTGTCTGGTATAATAAAAGAACAAACACCACATAAATTTTATCAGACTGTATACTTTGCTGATGACACTGCTAGTTGAATTTCTGAAATCCTTTCATAATGAAAGACAGATGGAAAAAAATCAAGTACAGTATGTAGTAATAGCTTGGGAAGTGCAAAAAAAAGTTCTGCGATTTTAGAACCTGACAATAGAATGTTTTTCTCCTGCAAGAAGCCTAATTCGTTAAGCCTTTTTGCTAGTCTACATGAAACACAAATTTTATTCTAAACTGATTGCTAGTAAGAAAATGATAATATTTAAGTCTTTGGAAAGTGGTGGATATTTGCAATCTGCTCTAATACCACATCAGTCAGTTAAGAGATAACCTAAACAGATAACCCAGACATGAACAGCTATACAAACCAAGAAATTTTCTAAAATTTGTAATTACATTTTAAAAGAGGGGCATAAACTCTATCAAATATTTTTAGAAAATTTATTTTTAACATGCTTTAGCTTCATCTCAAAAAGAAATTCATTTTCCAGACTCCCATTCCCAAATATTGTTCCATGACTTCCTATCCCCAACTGCAGAGTTTTTAATACTTCTTTAAAAAAGAGAATCAACTTACTGATATGCAAGTATTTCCCACATGTGAAGAATGAAGCTGGCAAAGCAGAAGGCAGCAGTTCCCAGACTAGAGAAAACTATTACTTCATTATAGATCATGTGCCTTCCAAGGCCATCAAGAGAACGGCTAGATATCTACTGACTTGGAAAGACAGGAGGAAAAAGCCTAAACCCTGGACCTATATAAGGGCTTTAATTTCTATGTATTGAAGTAGACAAATCTTCTATGAGAATATGGCTTTATTCTCATTTGCAATAAAGAGATTAATCAAGCTGAGCCATGTCTGTGAGGCTTTTGCTAAGAAAGTAAGTAAAGAAAGAGTCAGGTTCCTGAATCAGGTGTTAAATAACTGGTGAGCCAAAATTTACAGTTGGGCTATAAAGATATTAGAGTTTAGAAACAATATTCTAGGAGCATCTGAACTAATGAATAATTCTCTCTAGATAACAGCAAATTTTGCTCGAGTTTTACTCTTGGGAAGAATGGAAGTATCAAATGCAGGAGCAAAATTGGAAAATCTCATGTGGTACAGAAAAAGCAATTTTTTGGGATTAAAAATGCTTCCTTAGGACCATTTGTTTCAACTCTATCAAGAGAAAATCAATACTATCTTGTATTTTGATTCAAAACAATCTAAGATGGTTCCTTAGAAAGAATGTAATCAGTTATTCCTGAAAAAGTTTTATCATCCAAAACATTTTGGGCACTAAACTGCTCATTATACAAGTCTTCCTTTTCATTCTTGGAAACATCAGACAGAGAAGTTAGGGGACTTTCTTTTTTCCTCAAGGATTTTTTAAATTATTTGTTGGGGAGATATAGATATGGCTTGGGCTGCTTGCAAGAAATCCAACTGAAATAAAATATATAGCTCAGTAGCACGTAATTTCAAACATTTCTAATTATCCTCTACAGACATTGCATGAGAAATCAATTAGAAATCTGTTATTCATATACTGTGAGGTTCCCAATAGAGATACATGCCATTATTACTGATCCTAATCAAAATAAATATGATCCTAGAAATCTCACTCAGAATAAACTATGGCAATGCCTTAGTGGAATACATTCCAGATAAATGAGCTTTATAAGATGACCACGGTACTTTATTTAGCAAGGCCATACTGATGGTTAATATTTGATAATTCGTAAAATGGTTTATATTTTATCATTATTATTATTATTATTATTAAAGCAATTTATATGGCTACCCAACTTACTCACGATGACTCCAGGTGGCTATAAAACCCCAAATACAAACCCACTATACCCCCCCCCGGCGACAACAATGCATTCAAACAAACCACTGGATGGGCTCCATATCTAAAACTACAAAGCAAATAAAAACCCATACATGCATTTGAATGTATTCAAATCAGTGAATCTGGATTAGTTCCCCATGAAAATATGAATCGCACTCTACTACAAGAAGAAAGCCAATTTCAATTAGCACAGGGAAATTTCCTCATATTACATATAAATTAGTATTATGTACTTTAAGGCAAGTACTGATCTTCCAACATTGAAAATGACACTGAGTCCCATTGTTTCCTTTACTCCTTTCTTTCTGTGCTTCATATATATTCATCCTTAAGTTTTCTTTATTTTAAATTTGGACTGATACACAAGAAACTAAGGGGAAACCTGGGTGTTAGGAGAAGGAAGCAGAGAATCAAAGAAATGTTTGTTTTCATAACAGTAAAAATAAAATATAAGCAGTGATTAACAAAAATGATAACATTCCTAACATCCCTTTACAAATCAGTGACTTATCACACAGAACACAAATTTAATGTGCTCTTCTCTGGAGCATTAGCCTCTATGACACAAGCAAATCCATACCCATAGCAATTCAAACATTCTACTGTAGATTATGTTAACCTAAAATTTACATATAGAAATTAAAAATCATAAAGAGACTTTCCAGGAAAACCACCTTAATGCTCTAAATGTTATTAGCCATATATTGGTGATATCAGTGACTACATTAACTCACTTTAGAACCAGGTGCAAATTAGCTGATAGCCGTGGATCTGTAAACTGTGTCGTTCTGTTGTTATGGTCAACAAAATACACTCTGCCTGTGGCTGTATTTCGGATTTCCCATCCAGGAGGCAAAGGACCAAGCTCTTCACAATTGATGTTGCTAAGATCCCTGAAAAAACAAATATAAATGAAAAATATCTCAGCATAGGGCTTCTGAGCCAAACAAGCATAAATGTAACATAACAATTCCACGAAGTCTATGTGTATATATTGTTTCGGAAACCTGATCTATTCAGTTGGAATCTCTGCTCCCTAGGAACAAGTTCACTAAAGTAAAAGAAAAACATACTCTTAGAAAGACACTGCACTGCACATGCCTTGGAAAAACTGTTACTGCAAAACCTGTTTTTTTTTCCTAATAAATATTCCATTAATCAGTATGATTCCTACTTGAAATGTAAGTACTTATAGGCCACTCTTACTACAGGAGTTTAACCCTGATTTTATCTTTAGTTACGATTTTAACAAGTCTTCTTAATTATTTAAAGATACCTGATTTTTTTTAAAAAGCTGAAAACAGACCTTTCTTATTTTCCATAAAGTTTATATGAGCTTGCAATGTACCACAGGTGACTTTAACCAACTGTGTGGACTAACCATGAGATGCGATGACAAGCCCTAGGTGAATATAGGTTTGCTCAATAAGTTATGACTAAAATCCTGTATTGTTTGCAAAAGAAGCCTCCAATTTACTTATTATTTCTATATCCTGCATATTCTGCACTGTGCATGTTCCTCTTCCCATCCTCAGAACAATTGTGAGGTAGGATAGATTAGACATAGCAAGTAACCCAAGATTACCCAGTGCATTTCATAACTCCTTAAGGAGTTGAATGTGGGTTTCCAGAGTCCTAGCACAGTGCTTTAACCATTACATCACTTACGAGACTAACACCTTAAAGCAGTGCTTCCCAAACTTCTTCCTTCATTACCCAAAACTCAGGGGGGAAGGAAGGCGCATGTGGGTGCATGTGTGTGAGCAAAGGGAGGAAGGAGGGCGTGGTGCGTGCTAGCAAGCAAAGGAGGCCGCAGTGCATGCAAGCAAAGGGGGGAAGGAGGGTCCAGTGTGTGTGAGTGAAGAAAGGATGGGGTGGGTGGGGGAGACTTACTCGAGCAACTTGCAACCTCCCCTGCCAGCTTCCCCATTGATTTTGCCTGTGGGAAGGTGGCAGGGAAGGTTTCAAATGGTGATCACATAACCATGGGATGCTGCAACCAGTCATAAGTGTGAGCTGGTTGCCAAACACCCAAATTTTGTTCACGAGACCTCAGGACTGCTGCAATGGCCAGAACTTCGAGGGCCAGTCATAAGTCCCTTCCTTCAGGACCATCATAATTTTGAACGGTCGCTGAACAAATGGTTGTAACTCGAGGACTACCTGTATTATAAAAACAATATACTGAATGATCTTTATGTCGTTTCAAAAAATTTTCATTGGTAATTTTCATTGATTTTCGTCTTAATACGAATATTTTGGGAGATTTTCAAATATATTTTAGTACACATGGCAATCTTTAAGTTAATTTAAATGTCCCTGTTGTGAATGGTTTTGTGTGTTGTTACCCAAAGAAAAACCATTTTTACCCAACTTTCGGTTATTTATTTATTAAATGTATATGCCGTCCATCTCCCCAGAGGGTGACTCTGGGTGGCTCACAATTAAAATCAAACATTGAAAACAGTAAAAATATAAATATCCATATTAAATTAGCTAAAAAAATAATACTATATAAAAAGACTATATACAATTCAAGATGGGGGGCAGAATTGATTACCCCACCAGCCAACTCCAACAATTTACCCAGGTTTGGGAACCACTGCTGTAAAGGAACTAAGGAAGTTAGTTTTAAATATGCCAACAGATAATAGTATTGAAATCATACCAGTATCCATTAATGTTAAAGAAAAATAAACTATATAAGTCAGCATTTTAGCTCACTGACATAGCACATGTTTTATACTTTAAAAGTTAACATTCTCAATAAGTGGAAGTCTACTTGAGTGATGAGACCATCCTCAGTTCTCAAGACCTCACAGTTCTCCGTGTACCCCTACAGTTGCTTCAGAGGTTTCTCTGAATTTTAAGGGTACACAGAGAACTGTAGAGAGTTGGGAGAATCACCTCTCTCTTAAATCTGCTGAAAGAAGCCATTCCATCAGCAGAAAATCTTCACTGATTTTCTGTGGTAAGAAAATTAGAGGCAAGTAAATAAAAAAATATAAATTTAGGTTTAATTATGCACTGAAATATCATCTCTGGCCAAAGAAAAGTCTTATTGCAACCCCCTCAGATGTTTGTGAATGTATTAGGCATGTAAACACCTCCTTTTTCAGACACAGGGATTCTGCCCAAGCTGTTCTCTTCTTTTTAAATGAAAACAGAGGTTCTCAGAATGCATTGGTTTCTGAACCAAGTTCTGAATTTGAGTGTCTGTAGAATCACATGATGCACACCATCCTGTCAATACACAAGTGTGCAATTATTTGAGATCTGTGTGCTATTTTGCATTTTATTTGTAAAGGGGCTTTACTTAATTTATAGCATCAATGAAGATACATTATTTTCTTACCGAGGTACCCGGGGATCATGCCACGTGCTTACACCAGTTTGAGTATGTAGGAAATACACCTGCCCTTGCTGAGTTGTCCTTTGCTCTGTTTGGGAAATTATCAATGCAAAAACAAATCAGAACGTTCAAAATATTGTTTCCCTACGAAAATTCCCTGGAACACCAGTTATAGTTGATACTCTAGAGATAAATGAACCACAGAAGTGACAGTCTATATAACTCCCCCTCGTGATTGTTTCATTTTGGTGTTTTCCAGAACAGCTGTTAAGAGTTCCAGACTTGGACTAGCTTGAACAGTTTGGCTAAGCTGGAATGGGGTAATCTTGGCTTTTTATACAATGTATTTTCCCAACTGGCTATTTTATTCTGTTTCTGTGTTATATTTTTAACTGTTGTTAACTATCTCAGGGCCAGAACATTGGAAGGATTTTTAAAATACTAGGGTTGTTTGAATTAACTTTTTTACAGTATAATATTACAGGGTTAGCTTCACAGGATTCCATGCCTACAACTGCAGTTTTCATCTTGGAATAAATCTAAAGGATAGTGGCTATTCATAAACACACAGATACACAAAGGTGTGTTTATGTGACAAAAGACCAAAGATGCTTTCAGAAAAAAAATGGAACTTAATCGGAATACCAACAGTATCTTCCAATGTAACTTTCCTCTGTTTTCCCATTGCATCTTTGGTCTTTTTTAACTGCGGAAGTCCCTTGGGATGACAGCTGAAAAGCTGCTGAACTCTAGGAGAGTAGCAGGGATAACATAGCGTGCTTACTGGCCTCCCAACCATCTCCCTCTCACCCTGTTCACATCTGCATCCAGCTTCTTCTCCAATAACCCTTGAGACCTGCCTGTCTGTCATAGGATGGAGACATTTTCAAGGGTGGGGTATAATGGGAAAATATATAAGGGGAAAGAAAGCAATCTTTTAAAGCTGTTATTCTATGCAGCCACAGTGAATTTAATCCCACTGAAGAGAGTGGAAAGAAAGCTGGGTGAAGATCGAAGAGTCGGCACACATACAAAATGGGGAAATGAAGAATCTCCAATATTCTAATAACTTAAGTATCTGAATGCAGAATACTCCTCCATATGTCTACTCAGAAGTCACCCTGAGTTTAACAGGAGTTACTTATATGGAGGTTTCAGTAGTACATTTGTAAAGCAAATATATTTTCCATATAGATTAGCCAGCACTACCATCGTTTTGAGTCACGAGTGAAAATTGTAAACATCTTAAACTTGTTAAGTTAGATCAAAGGTTGTTTATTACTAGGCTATCTATAAGCTTCATGCCTTTGGTCTTGCTACCATGATCATGAAATACTCCTTTTTCTTCATCCCTTTTCAAATCAACAAAATAAAAAAACAAATCCTGCAACTACAAATATTCCCAGCTCAGACCTGCAAGTGCATTCCATATAGGTTAATAGATTCTTCAGACAGAGCCACTGAATACAGAAATGGTACATACTGAGTCTGCATGTATATTGACTGCTCAGTGCCAACTAGATCAATACACATTTCCAAATTGTTTATAAAGGATTTGGGGGGGGGGATGGCTTTTCCTTTCATTCTCTTCCCCTAAAAAGCATCAGTGAGAACACAACACAAACACACCCATAAGCACATATACATACACACATAATTTAAATTTGATCAGAGAATCCCAACGTTCTGATGGTCAATTAATAACTTTTTGGCACACATTTTAAGATATCAGAACTTGCTATTTTAAATACAATAGTATATACTTTAACATCCTATAAAGTAAGCAAAACTCAATGTGTAAATTTCCATAACGAAAAATAATAATAAAAGCTAAACTGTGTTAGAATAAAAGCTAAGTTCTAGCAGAATTGTGATATCTGAGTTAGAGGAAATACACGTGTGTGCGTGTGTATGTATATATGTATACATACACATTTATTTATTAAACTTATATCCTGCCACTATCAAATGACTCTTGATAGCTTACATACTATATAAAAAAATCAATGTATCTGCAGGACAATTAAAAACAACAATAGCATAACCCCCCCTGACAGGAGCCACATATACAGAACAAATGAAAAGAGAAAAAGAGTAAAAGAGTTGGTACACGTGTGTATTTTGAAAGAGACAATATATAACATTAATGACATGTCTAAGGCAGTTTAGATTTCTAATTTTTTAAAAACAATATACCAAATATGTCCATATTCACAACAGGCAAGGCTATCCTCATTTCTTTGCAATGCCACAATATACTGTATCTCATTTTAAAACCCTAAAGTTTCCTCTTTGCCTAAAGATACTGATTCAAAATTAGCCAATTTTATGACCACACTGGGTTGTAATCTAAGTCTTTTATGGTAAGGTAAATGTCATTGATTATAATATTAACTACTGTAACCACAAAGTCCCAGCATCTCCTTAGTGTTGCATAGTTGCCAAACCATCATAGTTAGCACCAGCACTATAATCCAATGGGAAAAAAAGTCCCTTAAATGGGAAATCGTGATCTCTATGCATTCTTCATAAAAGACAAGCAGACATTTAGACAACTTTAGGAATACATACCATATCCTTCAGGTAGATCTGGAGGAGTATGCAGGTGGGTCCTGCTCATGTAATTCCTATGCCTCTGAGATCTAACTCTTCTTTCTGCTAGCCTGGGGTCAAATGACTGTCCACATGTTGCACCATTTATTCCTGTAAGAGGTGTGTTCTCATCCACAAAGCAGCTCAGAGGCCTACCCGGACTGGAATATTCTGATGCTGGCCTATTGAAAAACAACAATCTATGCTTCTTCTATCAAAAGGATATTACAGCCTAAAATCACAGTTAGTTTTAAGTAATGTGTTATGAAACACTAGTTTAGAATCCAAATTCTAATAAATAAATAAATAAAGTTTATTACTCACTTTTAACTATCTGTAATAATCTCAAACAGGATTAAAAAGTAGCAGTTAAACTACAATTCACAGAATTGCAGCTACTGTAAAACTACATCACTTAAAAAAAAAAAAAAAGGAAGCAGGTCATTAGGAACAAGACAAGCAGCCCAAGAAGGCTGGATGCAACAGAGTGAAACAGGGCACAAGTGTTGAGGACCTTCCCTTGGGTTGTGGCATAGCAAATTCTTGGTAAATACAGCACTGCCATCAGACCTCAATATATGAGTTGGGATGGGACGAATAGACTACACTTCGGGTATCTACCTCCAAAGCCCAAACAGTTCTTTTATATGAATATGAATAGATTGGTAGACAGGTGTAACACATTCATAGTAGTTGTCCCTTCAACGATCTGGCTGTTAATGTTTTATACCAGAAGCAGTTTCCAGCTCAGCCCAAGGATAACTGCATAAAGGACATTTTCAGTAATCCAGTCCTAAAATTATCAACACAAGGACTGCTGTGGACAGATTAGTCCTGACAAGGAACGGCTACAGCTGGTAAAGAACCCATATCTGGAAAAAAGTTCTCCTTGCCACAGAGACCACTAATGTCTCCCCTGATAATAGCAGCTCTAGGACCATCCCCATACTGTGCTTCTCTCAGAAATGTTCACACTGTTTGCATTGTATTAGAGATGGAACAAAGAAAACTTGGGAGAAGATGAGAGATCTGACTTCCTACACATTAGCAATAACGGAGTGGCCCGCTTTATAACCAATCATAGCAGAATCAGAAAAATCCTGGTGCATTTTTACTGGTACACAAGTGTCACTGTCTCCCATGCTCAACTGGAAAGAAAATAGGAATAGTTTCTTTAGTGTGTTGTCCAAACTGATTCCTTGTTTTTCCCTTTCCTAGAAAGGATATATAAACCAATAACAAACCCTGATCTAGTTTAATAAAAACCAGAATTCTGTGAAATACTGGCTTATCTTTCTATATAAATACAATCCTTTATTCTTGTTGACTTTATCACCTATTATTGAATATTAAACAAATAAATAAAAATGGGCTTAAGGACAGCTAATAAAAGAGGGATAAGCAACTTCTTTGATCCAGCAGGCATATGTGGAAGTTTGAAATAAAGTGAGTGTTCTAGAAAAACGACTGTTGTAGAGGGAAGTAAAAAAACCTCTCATTTATCTGAAAACGAATTGGGATGCTCTGCCGCTCAAGATTCCGTTTGTCATGTTTTTCTGTGCAAGTGGCACAATTCCAGACAAAAGAATGAGCTGTACCCTTCATTTCTGCTCTCTATGAATGGCCACAGGACTTATAACTGACTGCGACAGTCCTTCTTTTCAACTTTTCTTCTCCCATATTACTGTATGCTGCATTATTTGCATCTGAGCCATGGGAAAGTGCAGTTCATCCAAAAACAAAAGGCACCAGGCTAGAAAGCAGGAGAGTGTGAGTTCTAGCCCCGCCTTAGGCATGAAAGCCAGCTGGGTGACTTTGGGCCAATCATTCTCTCTCTCAGCCCAACTCACCTCACAGGGTGGTTGTTGTGGGGAAAACAGGAGAAGGAAGGAGTATTAGGTATGTTCGCCACCTTGAGTTATTTATAAAAATAATAAAGGCAGGATAAAAAATCTTTTTTAAAAAATGCAATATTTCCTTCTTATGGTTCTTTTAAAAAAAATGCTAAAGTAACTATTTCTTGAGACATAGTCATTTTGAGTTTTTGTAGCAAAAACAGGAAAGAGCCTTGCAGCCTGTTAATGAACAAATGGATAATGCTTAGGTTTTCATAGAACTTCCATGAAAAGATTCTCATAAGGAAATATGTTCTATATTTTTGTATAAAAATGTAACATATATTAAATATGTGAGAAAAAGCTCTAATTTGGGAGGATGGGACATAATGCGGAACAACAACTTAGAATTGGAGAATTCCTAGTACTGACAACCACTAGAGTTCTAGGCATTCAGTACCTTTAACTCTTTTTAAGAATTCTTACCGTGTTGGTCTCTCCCACTGTGTTGTTCGTGTGATATGATTTAAATACTGAATTCTTCCAGAAGCTGTCCTCCTTTCTTCCCAGCTAATTTTTTTTATATTGAAAGAAAAGTATATCTTATAAGCAGGTTGATTTTAAAAGGCTTGATCTCACAGAAAGTGTTATTTATTAAATAAGTTTATGTATTATACATTTTAAACTAACATTCTTTCATTTTTTTGTTATCACTGCAAATATTAAGCACAAATTAAAAGTGCATTTGTGGCATGCAATATATGATTTTGTTCCAGCCTTCAAAAAATTAACTTACCCATCAGGTAAATCATTGTCAAATAGTCTACTGCAATCAACAACTTGCCCTCCTGTGCCTATCCGGTCTCTGGACTGAAGACTTACTGTCAAAAAATAAAAGTCAAAATTAGAACATCATTATGGCATATCTTATGGGGGAATAGTTGGTGAAGACAATGGAACTTGCTGAGAAGGCTAAACTGACTTCTTTGATCAGACAAAAGATAACATCTACGTTTATTGCCGACTGGAAACCTCTTATAGACTTTTTGCATGAAACAGAAAAAAATGAACTCATGATTTATGGTTTTGATGATTAGACAGAAGAATCATCATATAGAATCATATAGAAAAAAGAGAGTTATGTTGTAACCGTAGAGCAAGAGATAAATTTATAAATTTACTTATAACTGCTATAAAGAAGATTGGAAGCTACTTCTTTGTATCCTTTTCTTTCTTTTCTATTTTTTTTAACTTTCTTTTTTTCCTTTCTGGCACTTTTAGCTCCTTCTTTGATTTCTTTTTTCTTCTTTTCTTTTTCTCAGTTTATATTAGATTCTATTAGTTTTTATCTTCTTTCTTAAAATCTTTAATAAAATTATATATAAAAATTATTATGGCATATCTTGCATGAATCTTTTCAGGCCAGTGATAGATACATTTGGAATTTTGAAAACACGTAGGATGCTCTTATCTTTTTACTGAAGTCTCTGAGGATTTCTCACAGATAGCAGAAAGCAGTTTGATGTATCCTAAAATACAATTATTCTGACCCTGGAAATTTTAGCTCAGGAAATAGGTATTCCTATAACCATGTCTCTATCCCCTTCAATCTGTTCTTCACAGTTGCCTAGTAAAACACATATACTTTTGTTAGAAAAGATTACCTTACTACAATGATTGCTACCATCACATTAATGGATGATTTATTGTGGAATATGGATCTTGTTAATCCTGGAGCTTCTAGCAACTTCTAATATCAGTTGCAATGTTACTTTTTCCATATTCTTGGGAGACACAATACACAGTAATTCCATTCCTATCTAAAGAAGTAAGTCCAAAGTGTGATACTGAGGGAATATGCTCAACCTCATGACATCAGTGTTATAGGATCCTGCAAGATTTTAGTTGTCTCCATGCTCCTGAATGTTGAATTACACTGGAAAAGGTAAAAGGAGCTGTAATGAGGCATCACCTGTTTGCTGATAACATCCCATTCTCTTCCATCAAATTCAGGTAAAGAATAATGAATCTATACCCAGAATTAATAATAAACTGAGTATGGGCCAATAAGCGCAACTCAGTCCTGGCGAACCTGAGAACTGTGAACAGATGCTTGGTTTCTTCAGAGAATCTCCTTTAAGGACTATGTGAGTTATGGTGGGTGGGGTGGTGACCAGAAAGAGAGAGAGCCTTCTTAATTAAGACGCTCAGCTTGTGGAATTGTCTCCTCAAAGAGACCTACCCAGTGACATTCTTATGCCTTGGGCCAATCAGATATTTTGCTATCTCATTCTTTTCAACATGCCATTTTTTGCTGTTGTTGTTTCTGTGTGCTATATCTTATTTTTATGTTCTCTCCTCCCATCCCCACCACTGAAAGCTCTGCTGAAGGCTGACATGCCAATCTTGCCAGTAAAGATAAGTCTTTGGGAAATTTAATGCACTGAACACGTGGTCAATATAGAAATGGGACCAATAGAAGCGAATATGTATAGCTCAGGGTTGAACTAATCAAGGAACTACCAGGGGGAAAAATAAAACAAAACAAAACCCCCACCCCCACCAACACTGGCCGGGCATGCCACTGTCTATAAACAGAGCAAACCCCATTCCATTCTAGCACTGAAGATGTTACCTAACCGGGTAACGAAACGTTTGCAAGAAAACAACCAAGCTCAGAGAACCCCAAGGACTCCAAAGAAATGGGACCTCATATTTATCACTTCCCTTATCATTTAGCACAAGTCAATTGATAGGAATTGGATACTTCTATGTAAAAGGGATCTCCATATCAGCGATTTTATTAATTACTACTAATAAATAGTATTATGACATGGTTTTTCACTCTTTTTTTTAATGTTGATATACATCTTTCATTTGCTTTTATTTCATTTGTTATATTTTTGAAGATATAACAAGGCTTAGATACTAGATAAGTATATGTAAATGTAATATCCTATTACTTTTAACAGTGGCATATACAACACAATTACATTGCAAAAATAGTTTAAATGCTGTACGAACAATTCCCATATTCACAGATGCATTAAAAAGACAATCTCTATTGCTAACCTTTCTTACATCCAAAGATTTTTCACAATAAAATAAAATGATAATTCTGTGCCTAAGTGTTGCAAATAATACAACAAAGGCTGTCTGTGTAAACCTAAGTAGTTCTGTTTACTTTATAAAGAGGCCAGTCAAGAATGAAATTGAACACATGACTTATTTGTGGTTTCTGTGGCATTAAGATTAATGGGCTTTTCCTAATCCTGTTTAGATTGGAACTGAAAGCTCAAGTCTAGACCAAAATGAGCATCAACCTAGCAAAAGATAACAGAGGGGCTGGGCCCCACTGCAACCAAAAGGAATGCTGGCATTCTGAAGGTAGGGCACCATCTGCCAACAGACCCCTATGATTCCACCTGCTGGGATCAGCATTTTCAAAAAGAACTTGGAAGAATACAATCTGTAAATCAAATGTCTGGAAATTCTGATTAGATGTAATCGAGTCTTGCTCCAGCATTTAAATCAATTAAATCATAGTCACCTACTGAGTGGAATGGATTCTTAATATTCTTAACACTTTAAACAGTGTCAGGTTGGATTATAAGGTTCAATTTCATTGACAGAGCCTCCTACCACTGACATAATAAAACATTTGAAATGGATCTACTATTTAAATACATAATTTGCAGCATATATGTGACATCAAACTGTATTTTTAAGCATCATCACAACACACGCAAACACGCTTGTCTGTTTCCCTTCTTACAATCAATTCATATGGTTAACAAGTATATTTACAAGATATGAAGCATAACAGGCTTCATCAAAACATAGCTGAAGCAATTTTAAACTATGTTATTTTCAGCAAGAAGAGAAAATAAAGCAGTACATATTATGTAAATTTAGTTGGCTTTAAGCATTTCCATTAAACAGTATCTGACTATCATTATTATTAATCTATATAGATTATATATACTTGCCAAAGCATAAGTAGAAATGATATGCTGAGTGCAATTATTACCAAGGGAGAAAAAATGAATTCTAAATAATGCTGATAAACAGAAGTACTGTACAAGAGTTGTATACAATAGTTTCTCTTTCCAATCAAAATTGGAATCCAGTCACCCAGCAGAGCTATAGACTAGAGGGGTGAACTCTTTCATTCCACCTATGCTTTACACTCCCGTCTCCCCAGTTCTATTTCAGACAATAGGGGAAACCTCATGAGCAACATGGGAAGAGGTAAAGGGGGGGGGAGGTGCATACAAAAGGAAGAAATGGAAATAAAATGTCTCCTTCCTTTTTTATCCATAAAAACATTTGCTGGATCAAAGGGCTTTCATGGACAATCTCTTCAATCTGGTGAACTCTGTACCATTCCTCTTCCATATTTTTACAGGGGCTTCTTCCAAAAGACTATACTGCTTTACCTGTTATATGTCATACTAAGGAAGGAAACTACCACAGAAGCCTTCCAAAACTTCTCTGCCGATAGCGTACAGAATTATGGCAGCTTTAGGTGGAGTTTTCTGTCAAAACTACATAGGGCAATGTCAAAATCATGCCATTCTGACTCAAAACTGACCTAAATAACAGGAGAATCATACTTCACATTCATTTTTCTTTCCATTTAAGAAGCTAATAATCCTGGTGTTTGAAATACATATTTAAATCAAATCATTACTTACCTACTATCTGTCCTCTAACTGTATCGTTGTCATTTGGCCCAAGTTTGCACAGATCTAATCTCTGATCTATAAAAAACAGAGAATAGTGCACTTTATTCCTATGTAATGATCATATAAGGTAACTTCTATGGCAAAATACATATTGCTGGATTAAACATTTCTAGAATTTCAAAAGAAGATGAAAAGCATACTTGTCTTCACTCCCCAAAGGCATGTTCAATCATAGTTTCCACAGAATACTAACTTTAAAGTCTCTCTAAAAGGCTTGCTTGCTTATTTATTTATTTATTTATTTATTACATTTGTATGCTGCCCATCTCCCCTGAGGGATGACTCTGGGTGGCTCACAATTATTCAAAACATGGAAGTATTTGTGTTCTGTCTACTTACAACCAGTGTCTTTGAGGCGGTTGATAGCATTAGAAAGAAGTCTCACACAACCCAGAAAACCAGCTCCCTGTTTTTTATGGATTTTCTTGTGGTTCCATACACTGATTGTTATAGAGTCAGACTTTCCAATGTATCTGGAAAAAAAAGACAGGAATCAGTAACAAAACATATGTTGACTGCACACCTCTAACAGTCTATGAAACACAGTATTTGACTGCAAAATATTTTTGAAGCTTCAGAGAATAAAAATGGTTATCTGGTGAAGAAGAGGTCTAATGCATTATACACAGATGTGCAAAAGTCTCCATCATAATTTATTTGTAAAAAGATTCTACATTAAGAAATGTCAAAGGAATTTTTAAAAATATCTTATGTAAATCATATACTGCTGACATCCTTTGGCTAGACAGTAAAAGCTTGTCAACAGAAAAAGACTGGTATGTTATTGAGTGTTTAATTTGGGGGAGGAGTTGTAACATTTAAGAATTATGGTTCTCTCTGGGAGATGTTTAGTAAGCTTCTCCCATTACATACATTCTGTCATAGTGCAAACATCTAAGCGTTCAATTTATTAAAACGTATCCTCCTACACTCACTCATTTAAATTGTTTACTTACCCATAACACATACACTAGAGCTGCAATGCATCTCTGGTTATTTAATGTAATTAAGGCTCTCATAGTTTATAGATCAATAATTGACTATTTTCCAAGACTTACAATGGTATGTTTTTGGAAAAGGCTATTCATATAACAATCCCTCTAACTTGTTTCTACATACAATTTCTGCTTGAAATCAAACACGAAATTTCAGTTAAATACCTGCATGTACTGTAAGAGGGCAATAGATGCATTGCACCTGTATCTCTCCAATGACAAAAAGAAGGGAGGAATATCTTCTATGTGCCATCCCCCCAAGAGGCACTCATGAGACTATGGTTCCAGCAAATGGTGTCAGCAACTAAAGAGGGATGATTTCTTAATATCCCATATAATATGCATTTTTGCCCATGTTCCAAGGAAATTATTGAAAATGTTACACATTATTTATTGTAGTGCCTCATTTCTGTTTCAGCATACAGAACATTTTTGGAGCCCCTCGATAGGAAAATCATTTTGGTTTGATTCATATAAAATTGAATATTTAATTAATTTAGACAAGGAGACACCATTATGGAGGTTAGCAAGCTTTGCATGGGCTGCTGCTAAACAGAAATTATTTTTATCAAAAGATCCTAATGTTTCTCCATCATTTTATCTTTGAAATTTAATATTCTTACTGATTTTTGCACATTTAATATATTTTACTCATGTTTGACCACTTTTATGTATATTTTAGAAATAAAATGTAAAGGCAAGAGTCACTGAAGAAGATCCTGATGCTTGGAAAAACTGAAGGCAATTTAAAAATATGCTGGCAAAGGCAAAATGACTAAATTGTATCCCTGATGACACAAGCGTAACCTTACAGGAACTTAGATAAACTGTTATTGATGGACAATCTTAGTAAAATTATATCCATTGGATCATGAAGAATCAGAAGTGATGGAACAATACTACAGCATTTTGCTGATATTACATGCAAAACATATATTGTTCATACATTCTAGAAGAGGTCCCAATCTTTCTTGGACCCCTCATCAAAATTAAAATCAAAGACTGTATTAAATTTTAATAACACAACGTTGAAAAATCTAGGAGACTATACAGAAGTCTAAGAATTGACCATTACTGTTTTACAGATACAGCTCAATAGATCTAGTTCATATTTAATGCTAAACTAGAACCTTTCACAAATGTAAAATTATTAGTGCCAAGAATTTCATATATGTGCTCCATTCTTCTCATAGGTCATCAAAGCTCTATAGTCACAGCATTTTGCTACTGAGATACCATTATCTTTGGCACAGAAACTACTTTTTATAGCAGGAATAAGTTATAAGTCAGAGACCAGTGTCCCCATGTAATAGTGTGCTGTTAGGATAAACATTATCATAGCATCTTATGAACTTACAGTACTATATTATTTCCAGAAGAGGACATTAATGCAAATAGTCTGAGAGAAATGGATTAACCATTATATTAGGCAAAATACTGTATCCTTCTGTATTTTCTAGCCTTCTACAAAAGAAAAAAAAGTATCCAAAATCTGCAATGCATCATTCATATAATATGCTTAGGGTAAGATCTAGTATAGTAAAATGAAGGCTGCAGAGTTTGATCACTTAGGTCTACATCAAATAGTACTATTGACACAGAAGGGAGTTGATCTTGGGAAACCCATAGTTTCAATGAAGAGTAAAGTAAATACTTTCAGAGTTGAGAAGGGAATTTGAGTGGATATGTTTCTTGAAAACTAGACCAAAATGACACTAGGATGATTCTGTAGCCTTAATTCATCTTATATTTCTTTTTCTTTGGTTTTGTTGCAGTTGATAGAATAAACCAGTAACCTGGACTTTTCACATTTTGGATAGGTTCAGGGATCAACGGAATGTACAAGGTATCAGGGAATTTGCCAAAGCCAAAGTAGTTGATAGCATGGCAAACTGCATAACATTCAAACAAATACTCCTATTGATGTCAAAATTGAAATCACACTTGCAAAAAACCAAGGTTAAAAATCATTCTGGGGAAGTGAAAGGATTGAAGAACTCCTAAGCAAAACTACTACTACAGTGATCAACAAAGAATTAAGCAGAAACAGCAGATGCATATTCTTTGTGTAAGTGCAGTGAGGAAAACAGATGTGGGATGCTCCTGCCAAATTATCTATGGAATGTTTTGGACAAGATTCTGCAAAGCTTCAGAACCAATGCTCATAAAACAATGAGACCATGAAGAAAAAAATGTTTCTTCAAACACATTTACTGTTTTTCAAAGGGGACAAAGCAGAAATATTATTATTACTTTTGGTCACACAGTCAGCCAGATGATTAGAATGGATTTGGCATTTTTATCTACCTATCGAGTCCTTCCCAAGGACCTGGGATAGGCAGATGT